CTTGCCTCGAAGACGACTCAATTAGTCGTCTGCCGAGGCCCTGTGTGATAATGACCTGCAACCATGTCACTCTTACATAATATATATTTAAATCACCCTTGAAGTCTTCTTTAGATAATAGCTCATTCCAAGGAATAGCTAAGGCAACCATTCTGTTTTCTAAACATTAAAATGTACTGAATCATACCTGGCATATTGCTGGCACTGGATAAGAAGTGACTATGGTCCAAAACACACTGCAGAAATGATCCAGTTTGAGACAACTTTAACTGCCCTGGTTCAGTGGTAGGGAATCCTGGGAATTGTAGTTTATTGTGGCACCAGAGCTTTCTCACAGAGGAGAATAAATGTCTCACAAAACTAGTTTCCAGAATTTCATAGCACTGAGCCAGGGCAGTTAAGGTGGTCTCAGACTGGATCATTTTTGTTGTGTGTTTTTGGACTTTTGATTAATTTAATACTGCAATTGTGATTTAAATACTGTAAGAAAGTGCTTAAAGTTATCTTTAGATAACTACAGTGAGATTGGCCATCCTTGTCCTCATATGCATGCAGATACATATGCACTTGAGTGCCAGCTTGGCATAGCTGTTTGAGCAATGGATTAGGACTCCAAGAGTCCAGGGTTCAAATCCCTGCTTGGCCATAGAAACCTACTGGGTGACCTTGGGCAAGTCACACTCTCTTTGCCACAGAGGCAGGCAATGGCAAACACCTTCTGGACAAATCTTGCCAAGAAAATCCTATGACAGATTCACCTTAGTGTATCCAGAAGTCAGAAAGGACCTGAAGGGACATAACAACAACATATGTACTTATATCAACTGTCTGTATATGTATGTGTATACAGTCAGACCTCCGTATCTGCGGGGGATCTGTTCTGCCCACCTCATGGATACAAAAAAAGCATGACCTCAAATCCCATTGTCCCTAATGGTGGCACAATGTGCACCCACCCACTAGAGCAGCCACATGCACACACAGCCACTGGGGACAATGAGGCTTACCGTCTGCAGATGCTCAGATCCACAGATGGCAAACCCGAGGATACGGAGGTCCAACTGTATATACCAGGGGTAGGCAACCTTTCCCCTTTAAGGGCCGAGGGACTTCAGCTTCCAGAATCCCAGGAGCTATTGGCCAACATGGGACTATTGGCCAACATGGCTGAGGCTTCTGGGAGCTGAAGTCCCTCGGCCCTTAAAGGGGAAAGGTTGCCTACCCCTGGTATATACACATGCATGCCTATTTGCATGCCTGAACCCTTCACTAAAATGTCTGCAAGTGATAACTATCAGAAATGCCAACTGGTTCCAGGTTTTTTGTGGGGCCTTGGAAACAAAAAAAGTATGAAATATTAAACTATGTTGGTCTCAAGAGAAAGGGATGCAAACTTTATTTACCTGATACACTGACTCACATGTGCACCTTTTCTTCTTCTTCTTTTGGCTACATGGTGCTTATGTCCCATCACCAGAAACTGAGATTGATGATGAACTAATGCTTGGGCAAATAGTTTTAATGCAGGTCACCAAATAATGTGTGTTGCATGAATCCATCCGGAGCTATTAAGCCAACAAGAGTGTGAGATCAATGATTTGGCAAAGCAAAGCAGATGGATGGATTTGGTAGATAGGCAGTCTGCAAATAGTCAGGCTGCTGAGCATGGAACCTGGGACTAGGAGATTCAGGAAATGTAGGAAAATGTAATGACAGGTTGATCTTTGCCTCCAAGACAGCCAGTTCAGACTGAGAAGGCAAGCCAGGCCAAGTCAAAATCGTATAAGACCAGGAAAAAATCATTGGCACTTATTATCAGCTGACATCTATCTCCCCATCCCTAGTAGCTAATATTTGCTGTGCCATTTCTGCTTATTTATGGTGAGGGCACCCAAAAGCAGCAGAGAACAAACCACTAGCGATATCTTTTGGCAAGCCAGAAAGTGAGGATTTAATCCTATACAGAACTCAATGCAATTTAATTCACAGTAGACACACAGAAGATTATATTGCAAGGCCCTGAGATCCAGAATATTGCTGTTTTAAACTGTGCAGTGTTATTTTGCTAGAGGAAAAAATCAGCCAGAAAAATATGTTTTTTCTACCTCCAAGAGGTTTAATAAACAATTGTACACACAGGTGCACATAGACAAAAATGTGCTGTGTTATACAAAGACACTTCATGAGTCATTATGGCAGCTCCTTATCCCTAGAAGGCTTACCTCACATTTATTCACATGTTTGCTTCCTTGGCAGTTCTCACATTGTTCCTCTAGGCCAGAGTGTCAGTTGTGGTCAACTTAGTCAAAATGACCGAGGCAGATTGCAACCCAGAGCACTTATACTTTCATTTCATATAGATGTACAGGCCATGACATATTTTACCTACTGGCTTAGGTTTGTTAGTGCTATTGAATGCTCTGTTATCATCCAACGTCTATGCAAGAAACAATCAGGAAATACTTCTTAAAACCCAAGCATTAATTGCCAGGCAATCCTCACCATCGCCAGCCATGCTCCTGACATGGCCAGGTGGTGACTGGGTTAAGGGGGCAGCTAAGGAGGTGCCCAACTATTAGAACACAAGTGGACAATTCTAGGCCCTCCCTTGCCCTCCTGACATGGGCATACAGTGGCTGGGAGGGGGGAAAGCTAAGGATGTATCCAATGTTCATAGCATAGCAGTCAGTCTTGGCTGCCCTCTACCCTCTCAGCATAACCATATAGTGGCCAGGAGGAAGTGCTCAGTTATGTTCCCAAACCTGGACAAGCATCTGAGACCTTTGGAGGATGCTCTGGAGATCCTGAAGGATCGCTGCATTATCATGTTCCATTTGTCGGAACCGGGCTGGCTTTCTCCATTGGTATAGAGAGCTTTAGAGGGTTCCCACTGTCAGGGTTTTTGAAGGTTTGTCTGGATCAGGAACTATGGACCATGAACAACAATATAGGAAACTCTAAGCATGGAAACTATGGTCCCCAGTTTCAGAATAGGACAGATTAGTACACCATGGATTTGAGGATGGTTTAAGTCAGGGGTAGGCAACCTAAGGCCCGGGGGCCGGATGCGGCCCCCTGAGGCCTTTGGACCGGCCCCAGGCTGTCCTGCCGCCGCCCCCTGCTGCCGCCACTCCCCGCCATGATGATATTGATTACTGTTGTTATTACTTGTTCTTGGGGTTTTCTTGGCAAAATCTCCATAGGGGGTTTGCCATGGCTTTTCTGGGGCTGAGAGAGTGTGCATGCATATTTTTTTAAAAAAATATTTGTATTTATTTATTTATGGTGCTTCGGCTCCCCAATTGTCTGGGGGACAGCAACTCAAAAAGGTTGCCTACCCCTGGTTTAAGTGCTTAGCTTTGTTCCGAAGCTGGGGACCCATATTTCCAATTTTCATGAAACAGAAAGCTATGCTTAACATAAAACTTTCTGGTTTGAATTTTTTTTTCCACACTCTGAAGGAAGGAGTCAAAGAACAATGCAAAAAAAGCGAAGAGCTAGCCCAGGATTCAACTTGTTAAAGTGAGACAGGATCATCCACATGTGGTTCCTGTATTAAGGGACTGAACAGAAAGACTGCAAACAATCTAAGTACTCATCTAAACAAAATTTTAGGTACCCAGCACTAAAACAATGAAAGAGAATGACATTCGAAAATGTCAGCAAGATGACACATGTAAAGAAGATCTATTTAACATGCAATTTAGGCATCACTCCTTCTCTTCTGTTTATTTATCAAATATCAATCACCTTCGCTTAAGCACTTCATGGTTTTGCTTTTAAAAGCATCTTGATGCACTTGGAAAACACAGTTTACTCATATTAACATTTCAACAGTACACTGGAGGAACATCTTGCAGATTGGAAATAACAGGGATGATCCTCCCTGATCCCTAAACTCATTCTTTGAGATTGCAGTCAGTAACAACAATTTTATTTATTGTTAGGACAAACTTTCAGTTGTGCCTGAACTACCTCTATGAGCTTTACATCATCAGCTCATTTGCCAATAGCCGAAACCTTTATCCAGAACCCTTTCATACTACACAATTGTAGCACCATGATTCCACTTTAAGTGTCATGGCTGCCTCCTGTGGAATCCTGGGATTTGTAGTTTGGTGATGCACTAGAGAGGTTATCTGACTGGAAATTCTAAACACCATTTCCCTAAAATGCCAATCCCAAGATTCTATAGGAGGGAACCATGCAGTAAAGTGGAATCATAGGACCAAAACACACTGCAGAAATAATCCAGTTTGAGACCACTTTAATTGCCCTGGCTCAATGCTAGGGAATCCTGGGAACTGTATTGTAGTTTTGTGAAACATTTAGCCTTCTTTGTCAGAGACCTCTGGTGCCACAACAAACTACAGATCCCAGAATTCCCTAGCACTAAGCCAGGGCAGTTATAGCAGTCTCAAACTGGATTATTTCAGCAGTGTGTTTTGTCCCACAGTGATACCTGTCTAGTCTGACGACGCTTTGTCTGAAGATACTTATAAAGAGGAAAGCGATTAAAGCAAATCCGGGTCTTTGTAAACTACCTTTAAAAAATAATCCAAATGCCACCAAGCATACATTTCTTTTCAACCAGAAATTCTAAATTTCAGGTTTCTTATAAACAGGCATGAACAATTCTACAGAAGGTGTGCATTTTTCCAGCCATATTTTTGCCACAGTAAAAGAGCACAGAGCCTAAATACCCTAAAGGCACCAGATCCCGTCTGATCTTGGAAGCTAAGAGGGCAAGCCGTGGTTAGTACTTGGATGGAAGACTGCCAATGAATACCAGGTGCTATAGGCTATATTTCAGAGGAAACAACTGGTAAAACCACCTCTGAGTATTCCTTGACTAAGAAAATCCTATGAAATTTGTGGGATGCCATAAATTGACAAGCAACTTCAAAACATGCTCACACACAAGAAAAGTAAAAAGAAAAGTGCTCCAGGGTCTAGATTTTTTTTTTTTTGGCCTATCTAGGGGATTCTGGGAAAGTAGTCCAAAATAATCTTCTCAAAGGGCTTATTCACACTAGCATTTTAGCAGCGAGGAGATCCAAGCGGAATCGATGTTGCGATTCCGAACTGAAGTTCACATTATGTTTACCCTGATCAAATCTCTCTGGCACAATGTAACTCTGTTGGAGTTCATGTTGGCATTAGTATCGGTTTGAAATGGAGCTGCTATTTCAATCACTCTCATTTTTTTTTAAACTGCCAATCCAATGATGCATACCTATGTCACACTGTTTGGGGGAACTCCCCCCTATCCCCTTAACCAGGGGTAGGCAACCTTTCCCCTTTAAGGGCTGAGGGACTTCAGCTCCCAGAAGCTTCAGCTATGTTGGCCAATAGTCCCATGTTGGCCAATAGCTCCTGGGATTCTGGGAGCTGAAGTCCCTCGGCCCTTAAAGGGGAAAGGTTGCCTACCCCTGCCCTTAAGTCTCGAAGGATGGCGATGGCTGTGAGCAATATAGTCCGCAAATGGCTACACATGTGTTTCCACTGATCTCCAACTGCCATGACTCACTGCTGGGCACTCAACCAGCTCCATTCCCTGGCCATCCGCAGGACCCCTCATCCACCCAGAGAGACCAAGGTGACCAGGCCTGTCCTCCTTGTCCAGGACCTGTCCTCCATTCAGC